GAACAGAGGAACTCGCAGGAACAGCACGTGGAGGCTGGATGGGACTCCCGTGAGCTGCTCTCCCTACCTGCTGGACATTTCCTCAGCCACCTTCTCATCCCAAATTACATTTAGCCAGCCCAGCACTCTGACCTGAAACATGATTAAGAGAAAGATTTGAGGAAGCACAGAAGCAAACAGCACAAAATCCAGACAAAAGCCCACTTTCACACACTTTCCGAGCAGCCCAGAGCACAACTATCACAGCCTGTGCCAGTTGGCTGTAAATACAGGGATGTGTTGATTAGCTGAACTATTTACATGCCTTTGCAACACTGCAAATAGCCTGATTTGCTCACATAGAGGATAAAAAAAGAAAATAACAGCCCGCAAATAACCTGGTTACCTTGGAAATGTGAGCACCCAAATTCAAATAGTGGCAGGAAGAGTCTGCTTTCCCACGTGCGTCTCTGGGTGACGCAACAGCAGGCAAGTTCAGAGCTGCAGAGGTTGACTTGCATCATGCTAGAAGCGTGTTTGATGCCACACCAAGAAATAAGGTCCTAGGAGAGGGGTAAGGGTAGACACAAGCGCGGGAAAGCAAGCTACAAGTAACCCCAAAGCCCCTTCCCTGAGCTCATGTCCTGCTTGTTGGGCTCCTGATGCTGTCTCCATTACCCCTTCACACCTCGCTCCTGCAGTTGTTTGGGGCATGCCTTTGTTTTGTCCCTGCCTTTGCATTGTCTCTCTACTGGTGCCTGTGACCACAAGTAATCCTCACTGCACTGCCCTGGGAACCTACTCTTTGCTATCCTGTTTCACAAGATGGCAGTCACCCTTATTCTCAGGACATACCTGCTCTCCTTGCCCTTCCCGCTCCAGCCGGGCTGAGCTGCCAGGCTCTGCCAGGCAGCACCGAGGTAGGCAGGATGGGATGGGATGTGCAGAGGGCTGCTGGAAGTATTCAAAAACAGCTACCTGCGATTCCTGGTGGGGAACTGCAGAAGTTTAACTCTACCTGTGTTCAGAGCTTTGTGCTTTTGCCATGACTTGAAACAAAGGGAGAAACTTTTCAAAAGCACCTGGGATCTGTGGTCCCTCTAACTGTTCAAATCAGAGAGGTAAGACAAAGTCATCCATGGGGAGGAAAAAAAAAAAAAAGAAAAAAGATAAATTCCCACTCATATTGCCTAAGGGCTTGTGGCATCACAAGTGAAAACCCAAGGGCAGCAGATCTCTCTGCCTGTGCAGGAGATTGCCTGGTTTTGTAAAGCAGAGCACAACAGAGCATCATGCAAGCGGCTTGTCTGGAATCAATGGGTTAACCCAAGAGCTTCTCCCTGCTGCATGTGGGAAGTGGTATCTCCTTGCCAAATTCCACTGATCTGAACATAACCAGCTTTCTCACTCAGCCCATGCTCCTACGCTCAGCTAGTGCTCGTGCCCGCCTCTGCAAGGGAATATAGACAGACCCCATGCTCTCTTTTCTCTCTGTAACTATTTCTCCAGCATTGCCCCTTTCCTGATGTCAGTCCTTGTCTCCTCACTAAATTACAGGACATCAGGTTTCCAAGGAAACCCCTCCAAGCCAAGAAGCACAGTTCAAGACATTTGTAAAACACTGATGGCTGAGGACCAGCCAGGCTGATTGAGGCCAGGAAGCTTGGAAAGGCTTGGAAAAGGCTCCTTTGGGTCCTGAAGGAAAGAGCACTTGGAGGTGACGGGATGGTTTTCAGACAAGCCATCTCCTTCCTTTGCCAATGGGGCTTTTGACTGCAGCAGTGGCAGGACACTCACGACAGACTTGCATCTCCCAGGATCAGGTACCCCCAGGGAGCTGCCTGCTGAGGAACAGCCTGGCAGCTGCCTGCACACCAGCTCTTCCACCAAGACCGCCGCAAATAGCAGCTGTGCTGTTCTAGCCAGCCACAATTCAGCTATGGTGCAAATGTGCTTACAGTGCTAATGCTAACTGCTAATATCCTATTCCACACCTTAGCAGAAAATCGTAAGAGGAAATTAGATGGAAGCAAATGTAGCTATACACCTGACAAGCTGTTCTGCACTCCTTCAGAGCACAGCCAGCCTCCAGCATGGTTTCAGATCTTCCTCAAGAGCTACTCTACCATGTAATTACAGGGGAAAACCTAAAGGTCGTCTTTTCCCTGCATACCAGGTAGATTTTCATTTGTTGAGCCACAAACAGTCCTCTAAATCAATATATAGATTCCCATCATGCAGTCAAGGAGTAAACAAACAAATTCTAATGCACACACACGCTCCCTTGGCTCCTGCTTCAGCCTCTGACTACCTCCCCTGCTCCACAGCAGACTCTGCACCCTTCAGCCTGAGCTCCTTCTGGAATAAAACTAGCTATTTTTGGTGCTCAGGCCCTAGGATTAGAAGAACAAGATGACACACACACTCACTTTGAGGAACTGAACAATTGAATAGATAGTCATTTAATTTCTTGCTATTTAGGTTAAAACAAGGAATGCTGGAGGTGGGGGGGAACCCACCCCTGCTCAGTCCTACCCAGCTACAAGCAGAGGCATGGGGAGCCACAGGTCCCTTAGCTGGGCTGCACTCAGATACTTGGAGCCATGTTTCACCCTAAAGCATCCTCATCAGCCCCTCCAGGTTTCCCACAAAGCACTTGAGCCTGCAGCCAGGGAGCACAGCAGCACAGCACAGCCGATGTGCGACACTGCAGCTGGGGGCTTGGCTCCTCACCTGAGGATGCAGGAGGGGGGCTCCTGCTCTCCAAGAGACCCAGAAGTCATGAGGTGGTTGCCCACAAGGCCACAACTTCTTGCTTTCCTACCAAAATAAAGTCTGCTATCACAACAGTTGTGGGCAAGGCCTTGCCATGCCTTTGTAGGCCACGCTTAAACAGCAAACAAAAGTGTCTTTAGCTTATCTATTTATTTTTGGCATGGAGGAATGGCTGGGGTCAAAGCCGGTCCCATTCTCAAGCTGTTCTTTGTCCTCTGGTTTATCCAATACCCCCTCACCCTCCCACATCCCCCTCTCCATTTTACCACAGGTCTTAAAAATTAAGCTGTGCACGAAACCAAACACCACACTTGAACACTGCCCAGCAAATGCTCTTCATGGTCACAGAAGAATACTAATCGACTATAAAAAAAACGGATAAGAGCAGCATGCCCTTATATGGGCAGAGGCTAGACAAGCATCTGACACAAACATCATTTTTAAAGAAAAAATAATATTTATTTGCAATATAAACAAAGTCCCAATATTGGATCAGTATATATAGGGTCACTAATTTTCCTTCATAACTCAGAAAGCAGAACCATTCCTCACTAGCAAGCTCTCATTTGTACTAATCAGAAGATGCATCTTTTTTTTTTTTTTTTCCTTTAAAGAAGAAAGACCACTAACAGCACAGGAAGCCTTTACAAACCAGCTTAGCTGTAATGCAATACAGATGCACTGTCAAAAAATCCCTGAAAAAATAAATTCCTCCATGAGGTAAGATGCAATTAGGATATTTTCAATTTTCTCACACACAACCATACTTAGGCCCATTCTCCCTTCCAATGACCCACGATCCCAACATTGTTGCAAACAAAACCCAACGAACAAACAACAAAAAACAACCAGAAAACAAGAAAGAGAAGCTCATTCCAACATTCTGGTAACATCTTTAACAAAAAGAACGGTTTCAGGATGTGACAGTGTCAAACATTCCTCCAGATGGAGGGGTTTTTTTTATTATTTTTTTCTTTTTCTTGAAAAAAAGTACAAAAAACTGGATATTTAGAAAAAATCCGTGGCTTTTTTTTTTTTTTTCAGTTACATGAGAGTTAAAGTGGACAGGGAGGGGGGAGAAAGGAGGGACTACATTGCAGCCAATAAAGAAATCTCCAAATCCATTCTGCCCTCCTCCCAGAAATTATTACCACTTCCTCCCCCTCCCGGCTCGGTATAAGGTGTTTGCCAAACACTAGCCAGAAATATAAACAAGTCTTCTCAGAATAGAAGGCACGGCATAAAGTTATTCGAAAGAGGAAGAAAAAAAAATCAGAACCTCTGTTGAAAGCTCCAATCATCTCAGAATTTGCCAGTTAATATATATATTCATATATATATATATAAAAAAAATTCTCTGTTACAACGCTCTTGTCATCATTTCCACATCTCTTCACTCCCCTCACACGCTCTGTGCATGACGATTCAGTCCCGTCCCGCTACGCAATCCTTGCTCTGCTCCAGCCGCTCGCCGTCTTCCCCCCTCCACCCCGCACACGTGGGAAAGAATCGAGTGTGCACAAGAAAACGCCAACATCACAACTACCTTCTGTACTCGGGAAGCTGGAATGGTTTCAGGCCAGCTGGATGACGTTAAGTCAGTCAACAGGCAGCACAGAACGAAGCTGGGCTCAGACATGCTTCTACCAGCTCTGGAGGCTCCAAGAGTTTTACCTCTGGCAATAGCAAACAGTGTTTTTGGCAGGGGTGGCATTAAAAAAAAAAAAGCTTGCGGCTTAGTCACCTTGGCTGAATCAGTGCAGAGTTTGTGATTGTGAGTGCAGGAGTGGTGAAGGGGTTGCGTTTAAGCCCAACTGGCCTTCACACATAACAAAGCTTCCTACCAGATGCTAACAACAACAGCAGCAGCATGTATCTCTCTGGAGTACCCAGTAATATGCCAGGACATACCAAGGCTTCACAAAGTGTGCAAAATGCATTTGGTCAATATAAACATTTGATTAAAAAAAATAATAAATGATCAAACAAGAAACAGAATAAAATACTGGTTTTGCAACCTCGTCTGTACAAACAGTCAGGAACTTACATATTTAAAAAGAGTTTAAACCCAAAGCTCGAGTAAGATCTACCTTTTCTTTTTTTTAAAATCAAAAAAAGTAAACTTGGGTTTTAAAACAGTCTTGGCCCAACACCTTTTGTTCAAGGTTTCCAAGTGCATAAATCTCCTCACTTTCCACAGCAAGCTAACCTCTGGTAGCTCTTCACACGTGTGCGTGTTCTGACAGTCCCAATGCACCCAGGAAAGCGGTTATTGCCGGTAACATCTGCGTTCAAAACGCTGTAACATCGTCCGTATTAAATAACCCCCTGTAAAAAGACTACCTCTTCAAACCACTTTGATCAGGATACTAATGAACGGCATTAGCCTTCTTAAAGCAGCGATCAGGCACCTCTGCCCAGAGAAGCCAGTCGTTTCAGAGCTGCCTGGCAAGACAGATATTTTTGTAAGAGTTGAAATGCTCAAGAGAAGCGATTCGATGCTCAAGTTTCCAACCAAGCAGCATCCTCTTCATGTGGACTCCAGAGTGTTCAGCTGAAACAGGTTGTGGTTGGTGGGGGTGGTGAAGTAGAGCTGTTCGCTGGGTGAGCGGTTGTCACAAGGGCTGTTGAGTCCCAGAGTCCTCTCAAAGTCCAGGAGCTGGCCCATGAAGTTAAAGTTTGGGGAAATGTTGGATTTTTTCCTTTTCACAAAGTCATAGGCATCGTTCAGGGACAAGTTAAGTTTTTGCATCAAGTAGGCGACAGTGACTGTTACGGACCGGCTGATGCCAGCGAGGCAGTGAACAAGGATCCCACACTTCTTGGAACGGGCCTCATCTGAAACAAGACAAGGGGAAGGGGGAGTCTATTATTCTGCACCAAAAACGCATGGCTTTGGAGCAGGGCCAGGTGGCAGCTGCAAGCTCCCAGGACCAGGACGACTGCCAGAACTGGATCCCCTGCTCCCAGTGACACCATCTTGTGTCCCTCCGATACCCACATCTCTCCCCAAAGGGCTCCTGAGATATTCCCACCACACGGCAAAGCTGCACATCCCCATTCCATGCAGCAAGGCTAAGCATCTCGTGCTTGAGAAGTATTAATCAAGCCTGGCAACACATCCCTTGCCTAGGGAGCATCAGTACCCTCTATTTAAACAGAGAAATGGAGTAATCCACAAAAGGCAGCTGGAACAGGAGATAACAGCTCCAGGGAGATGCTGGTGGTCAGGCATAGCACACCCACCTCAACACCAACTAACCAGGGAAGGCTGCGCACTTGATGCAAAGCTACAGCCCAGCACCACGCAAGCTATTCTCTTCTGCTGTTCTTCTCCTCCTTCCACTATAAAGTTATCTGAATGTAGTCGAAGCCAATTTAAGCAGAGTCTGAAGTGCAGGAACTTCCCTTATTGTGAAATTGTTCTTTAGGATCGACAGAAACGCACTTCACTACAAACAAACGCTTGTGTTGGAGGAGACTCTCAGGATGAATGGTAGCGGGGAGCAGGGATGCAGGCTGGACCAAAAAATGGCGAGAGAACAGCGACAAAATTTCCCCTCCCTTGCCACCGATTGAAAAGCACACACACACTCATTGTCTCTCGCACAGCCGGAACAGCGTGATCCCTTTATGAATTGACATCTTAGTGCTGAAAGAGGGACACGCCGCTGAGAGCGCTGAATGCACACAAGTACCCAGCGCTGCTTACTTCTGGGCAGCCCTATTTGCAGTCAGTCATTTGACTGAGAGCTTGGCAGGGAGGGAGAAGGTGGCAGGAGAAAGAGGATCCTCAGGCAAAGCCGGAGGTAAGAGACATTCTGGCACCATGAGTGCAGAGAAGGGCAAAGAAGATGCAGGCAAAACAAAATCCAGACCCAAGCCACAACAGGTTTTCTGCCCTGCCCTTCCAAAACCAGGCAAGAACTACCAGTACAGTGGGGAATCACCCCCCAGCATACTCAGCGCTCCCCCCAGTCTCTCCCAGTTCAACATTTTTCTGAGACATTTTTGCCTTTCATCTGACCTGCGCCACATTTCTTGATGTTTGGTTTTGGAGTGAGGTAATCCTCCATTTCCTGTCATTAACTGGAAAGCACAAGCGCGGTGTTCACAGAGACATCGTCTGACTGGAGCAGACGGATCTCAAATGCCACATGCCAGCAGGGACCCCATACCTCACCCCTGACATTTCATACCAGGCTCCGTGCGGGAAGTGCAGATGGGACATCGGACAGGTCCCTGCTGCCGCACTGAAGCGGTCACTTCTGACCACAATCGTGTTACTAGAGGACAGAAGCTGGGGGCAAAGGAGAGCGCACGGGAACGAGGGTTTCTGACGGCTGAGAAGCAGCTGAGGACCTACCACCTCTCTGCCCTGTTTCAGGCTTTACAGCAAGCAAGCACGTGCAGTGGGGTCCGAAACGGGGAGGTAACAAAGCAGCATTGAAACAGGCTGCACAGATTTCAGTCTGAAGGTAAAGGGTCCCCCTCGCCTTTACTTACAGCAATGTTTTTAACCAGATATGAAGCCATAGGGCTTTTAATAGTTAACAGCGGTAATGACTACCTGTGCCATTCACCCCTCCATAAATCAGAACTTATTACGCTAACGACCATCAACAACAGACAGCACAGGTCATGCTAGAATTGTACATCCCTATTCAATCCAACAGACACTTCTTATTCTGTAAGAAGCAATTTTCAAAGTCAAGGCTAGCCTGGGAGAAGAGATCTGCCCCCCTGCACCCCTCCCCACAACCAGCCAAAGCTCTCTCAGGGGCTGTCTGCACAGCAATTTTTCCAGCTGAGCTCTGCAGTGTAATTATAATCACTAACTCATTGTGTTGACACTTACCTTAGGAGAAGTATCCATACAAGGAGTTAGTTATGCTAGGGCGACTTACAGCAGGATCGCAACTGGACTAGCAAATCCCCTCGGGAAAAGAAAACACCCCCCCCACCAGATTTTTAACCGCACTTGGGGCTAAGGAATCGCTGGCACCAGTCACGTTAATGCAACTCCCATCAACATTCCTCCGAGCAAAGCAGCTCCCCACCACCTCGGTTCAGCCATTTCACACAAGTGCAAATACCCATACAAGGGCAAGAGACAGCGGGGCCAGTCCTACCACTTGCAGGTAACCCAGCTGAGATGCTGTAAGGGGGCTGAATTTTGGAAGGGGAGGCCTCCCTGAACCCAGGCAGCGTGACACACGCCAGAAGCATCACCTCCGCAGCATGACGCTCAGCTGCTAAGCCAGCGCCGATGCTGTGCCCCAGAGAGGTGAGGCCAGAGACGAGCAACAGCCCTGGGAAGCGTCTTCCCACATTCCCAAGCAGTGAGTATGAAAAGAGATGTTCTGCCAACTACCTACCAATGAAAGCAATGGCCTCGGGAAAGAACTGCGAGAGGTTCTGGCTCCAGTGATCTGAGATAGGGATCTGCTTGTACTTGAACTCTCCGTCGTGCTCAAACATGTTTGGCAGGTTGGGAGTCACATTCAGGATGTATTTAATGCCATATTTGCCCAGGACATCCAAGTTGGTCGAATCTTTGGCACAGCCCAGGTACAGGTAAGGTAGGATCTGGACCGGAAAGGCAGGCTGATTGTTAGGGATGGGGCTGCCGTCCGACTCCGTGGCACTGCTGGGTTCCCTGTCGGATTCGCCATCCGAGCAGTCGGAGCTTATCCGCAGCCCTCCCAGGCCAAGGACCGATGCCGGGGGAGAGTTGCTGGGCGAGGAGCTGTCAAGGTTCGTCTCGCAGTGCTCTGAATATTCGGTCTGAAACTTGTTAAAGCCACCTGGGAAGGGGGAAAGGAGAGAGGCAAGGGGAGAGGCAGAGAGAAAAAGATGTTTTATTCTTCAGAATGGGAAGTCCTTCTACCTGAACACACGTGCATGTCAATTAGCAAGTCTTTGCCAGCAAAAAGTTGGTATACCTTCAACTTCACCCCAAGAAATGTATCTCCCTGCTCCCTCATCTTCCCTGGGCAGACTGTTAGCGAGCAAACAGGTCCCAGAAAACCAAAGAGTGTTTCTTACGAAGTTCGATATTGCGTGTGATAAATAGGGGCCAAATATCAATCACAAAAGAAAGAAACAACCAAAAATAAAATCAATGGCAAGAGACAATCTCGCCTCGTTTAGCTTCTCAGAAATATGGGTCTGGGGCAGTTCAGGCAAGAGCTATTATGCCACCTAGACAGAAAAGCACAAAAGTATCTGTGTCTGAAAAGATAAAGCAAGAACAACCACATACCCAGCCCAGGCACTAAAACCCAATAAAATAATTCACCTTGAAGCAGGAAAAAAGGCCGTAAGTTTTGCCAAAGAGCGTTCCTCACACCTATTTTATCACTACAAACACATTTTGCGACAGAGCAGTGTCACAGGTTTGCTCTTCAGCCAAACCGCAAGAGGCTTGAGGAGGGATGGGACCCTTCATGTCTGCTCCTAAGTCCTCTTCTCCAGCTCCTCGGCTCAACAGCTTGGGAAAGAAGGCAGAGGCAGGGAAGCAAAAACCCCACCAATCTACCTCCTTTCCAGGCAATATTAAACCAGAGCTCAGCCATCGCTATCTGACACTGACAAATGGTTTAATTAGAAAGGCCTCCTGGAAACTTTGTTAGTGGGTTCGGCGGTTGTGGCGGGGTCACTGAGCAGGACAGACAGCTCCTGCCACATCCATTCATGAAAAAGGCTCGTCCTCGTCCTCCTCCTCCCCCCCGCGCCGCCAGACAGCGCCGAGGAGCCATTTTGGAATTTTAATTGGAAACATTTCCCACCGAGGCTCCCGGAAAAAGGCAGAGAAAGGGGCTCAGCTCCTCCCCTGCCCATCGGGGAGAGCTTAGGAGTAACTTCAAAGCTGCTCCTTCCTGCTAGGGATGAGGACGACAGGGAGAGAAAGGGGAAGACAAAGCGAAGGAGCAACGGAGCCCATCGGGAAACCCCAAACCGGGATGGGATGGGGGATTCACCCACCAGCACAGGCGGGGAGCAGAGGGACGGGAGGGAAAAGCGGGATCAATCCCTGTGCTGGGGGCCTGGCTGCTCCCCCACCACATCGCCTTCGAAGGAGGCTTGTGCGGGCAGCGCAGCCCCAGAGGCTGGGCCCCCAATACCCGCCTGTCCCCCTGCCACCCCAACCCCGCACCAGGGGCTCCCTCGGCTACCCAAAAAGGGTCCATCAAGAAGCAGCAGTGTTTTTTAAAGGGCTGCGAGTGGCAACTTTCTTCACCACTCTCCCCCCCTCCTCCCGACTCCTCCACTCTCCTGT